AAATGCTCAAAGCATTAGGCAAATAAAGCATCTGCTGGCTTACCCGTGTCTGTCAAACTGCAATTACAACAGGGAAGACACCTGCGGACTGAAGAACGGGACATGGAGTACCCCTGTTCAAGAAGGTAGACCACATGGAATGCTCGAATTATCGCGGCATTACGTTATTGAGCCTCCCAGGGAACGTGTACGAAAAGCTGCTAGAAAGAAGGTGCCGCGAAATAACTGACTCTAAGATTCAAGAAGAGCAGTGTGGCTTCCAGCCCGGTAGAAGGACCTCTGACCAGATACTCGCCCTGCACCAAATTGCTGAGAAATCGTGGGAGTTCGCCAATTCGGTGCACGTGTTTTGTTGACCTAGAAAAAGCATATGACCGGATCCCGCACAACAATCTGTGATCACGCCTGCGAGCATACGGGATAGATAGCGAGCAGTTACGGGCTATCCAATCACTGTATTCTGATAGCAGGTGCTGCGTCAGAGTAAATGGAGTTAAGTCGAAACCCTTCCAAAGCCGCGTGTTCTCCCATTTCCTGTTTGTGTTATACATTTATACAACATTCAGAAGCAGCCAAGGCGATGAGTGCATTAGCATAGGAGATTTCGAGATGAGAAAGTCACTATATGCAGTCGACTTTGTTTTATTGGCATCTTCCGAAACTCATCGACAGCTCTCTCTGGAACGGTTCGCTGCAATGCGACGTTTCCTGCATGAGTGTGAACGCGTGCAAAACGAAAAGCCTCGCGCTTTCTCGCTCTCCAGCCCATTGATCGTTTCAGATAAACGGAGAGGCTGTGGAGCGGTGGAGAAGTTCGAGCATCTCAGAGTCGTGTTCTCTAGTGATCGAAAATTTGAGGAACAGACCGATCAACGAATTGGAGTGGCTAGTGGCATTCTGAAACGGGTGAACTAGCTCGAATTGTTGTGACTAAAACAGAGCTGAGTATGAAATCGAAGCTTTCGGTATTCAAATGGATCTTTATCTCCATACTTACCTATGGCATGAGTCGTGGACCATGACTGAAAAGCATGGAACTCGGGTACTGGCAGCTGAAATGCGCTTCCTGAGACGAGTCGCTGGCCTTACGCGTTTCGACATGATCCGGAATACTGACATCTGGGATAACCTTGGTATTCAGCCTCTGTTTCTGCGGATTGAGAAGTTCCAGCTGCAATGGTTTGGGCATGTGTTGTGAATGCCTCCAGAAAGGAAAGCTAAGCAACTCTTCCTTGCAAATCCGACCGGCAAAAGGCCCAGGGGACGGCCAAGATAACCTGGTGCAAATATATGAAAGGAGTCTGTTCCAGACTCCGGATATCTTCTGCCGAAGCTCAGACTATGGCACAAAATCGAGAACGTTGGAAGCACTTCCTGATGCGTCTGCCTCCTCGACCCGAAAGGAGAAGCGGTCATAGAAGATGAAGATAGATTATAAACCTACTTTATTTAAAACAGGCATAAAAATGCAAAGAAACATTACAAAACTTTTTTGATGAAAAAGTCCGCTATTTTCATTCGTCATATTTTAATAGTGTCAACAGAAATGAAATTTTCGATATCATTTATGCTTCAAAAAAATATTTTCTGCGACATTAGTAGTAGATAACAAATACGCATGAACTTTTTTCAGGCTCTCTAAAGCTTCTGAGGTCGAAATTTTCTCATTAGATGACTCATTAAAATTTTAATTTAATTTTCTCATTAAGATTCCTGTTCATTTTCAATAATTTCCAGGTCCGTCATCTCAATCAATGTCAATAAACTGTCATCTGCGTTATGAATGCAATCTTCATAATTAACTGTGTCCGGAATTCCCGGTAGCGATTATTAGGTCCCACATTTCCGTAACCTCAGGCTCCATGCCCGTCAGCTATTCAAGATCAATATGTGCAAGAATCGAGGCCTAGTTTCAACACTTAAATATGGCCGATTTTACGAACCACCATGCCGAAAGGATAATATCAT